TCTATGGGAGGCAGCCAGGCATCAGAGAAAATGATGGGGAATATAATGAACCATTTGTCTTCCCTGTAGAAGGGAGAGTGGCAGCAGAAAAAACAGGCTCTTAACTCTTCAACATCCAGCGGCTGCTGAGGCTTCCAAAGTCTCATTGGCAAACCCACCTGATGAGCCAGCATGGAAAAGGGAGGACAGGACTCAAATAAAAGGCGACATTACCATGCTGGCGTATTTTCAATATTTAAAATGGATGCAGGCCTGCTGTCCCAAATAGCCTCGATGTCAGCAACTGCTTATTTTGTTGTTAACTACAAAGGAACACTTATGGAAAATGACTTAACTTTGCAGATAACTGTAATAAAATGTACTTGTCTTTGTGCACAGCATCCTTTATCGGAGGTGCTGGGGATGCTGGAGGGCCCGCAGGGTGCCAGCAGATGCCGCGTGCCGCGAGGCTGCTGCACGGCAGTGGGGATGGGAAAAGTGCTCATGCGAACGGACAGCTGCTGAAATGAGTATCCAGCTCCCTGGCACACGAGCAGATTCAGTGGCATTTAAGCAGGCAGGATAGGGCTGGCTGTGGGTAATGGAAGGAGCCTCCGTGTCGTGTTAATGAGAAGTGAGGTGAGGAGCTGGTGCTGCCCTGCTGGGGGGGCTGGAGCCAGGACCACCAGGTCCCAAAGGGATTTTGGCAGCCCCGGTGCTGCAGACCCCTCATGCTGAGCTGAGATCTCCTCGGGTGCTCCATCCCCATCCTGCTGTGGTCGCCCCTCACTCACACCAGCACTCTTTTTTTATTGGCACACATTTTTAAGGGCCTGCCCTTAAAAGCCTTGCTCCTTAAAATACCATAACTTGCTGTCGAAATACTTTTGTAAGGGTGTTTGTTGAGCGTTCTTGGTACCAGCCCCCTAATTACTGGCGCTGGAGTGGTTTTATGCAGCGGTACCAGGAGCTTCATTATGTTGGTTTTGACCTTTTCTTTATTGGACAATAAAAAGGAATGTGCAGGGGAAAGAAAGACTGTATGGTGAGCGGAAAGGTAATGCACGTGGCCGAGCTGAGTGCATTTGTAATGAAGGATAAAAAGGGGTTTTAAGGGTAAGGCTGAGGGTTAATAATTCAAAAATACACTGTAAAATTTTATTGCAAAATCTGCTAAAATTTCTCAAATGCTATTAATACACTTGCACGTTTTGTGAGCGGAGCTTTTTGAATAGAGGACAGTGGGTGAAGCACGGGGCATGAGGCAGTGACGTTAGCCACCGCTTTGGTCCAACCAAGCCCCCGGGGCAGAGCCGACAGCAGGGGCTGTGGGCAAAGCTGGTCCCCCCGTGCCCCGCCAGCCCCTTCCCCACCCTGCAGGTTTCTGTCCTGCCCTGATGCCTTTGGCATCACCGCACCAGCTGCTGCTGGAAGCTCAGCATCGTCTTCTGCAGCCCCATGGTTGCAAACTTTCTTACAGTGTTTGAAATGCTGACGTTTGTGAATAAATTACCAGCTCAAATTTAATCAACTGTGCTCATTGTTTCCTGTTGAGTGAATTAAAAAGCTTTCAGCTGCACATATAAATTGCAGTCTAAACTTGAGACTGATAAATGTTCCTTTTGAACTTTGGCACAATAGGGGAGACGATTAAACTTTTAACATTTTTAATCATATAATTTAGTTTAAATGTATTAGCAGAAAGAAAGGAAAGCAAAAGGTTTTTTTAAATATATTTTTTTAACGGGAGCTGATGTTAAGGATAGATAATTTAGTCCAATAGGCTTAGCTCTGATGTTACAACTCAGACCGAATCCCAGAAGTTGGGCTGAAATTGCCGACCTTCAGTGAAATTTGGAATTTCTGGTTCAAATGTTTCCACCCCTCAGCTGGTTTGCTGCTTGGTGCAGAGTTCAGAAGCCACAGTCGCTGCCATACACCACTGCCTCATCACCCCCAGCACCAAGCAGCTGGCTCCCAGCCACGAGTCTGCGAGCACTTTAATCCCAGCTTCCAAATCCCAAACCAGAGCTTAACAGCAACAGCCACGTCTGGTGGAAACCGACCCACGAGCTCTTGTTACAGGGCCCTGATGGTACTCATGTACCTGCCGGTTTTTGCCTCGCAAGACAAAATGTAAATGACAGTTCCCTGTCTCTATCTATTAAGGAATTAGAATTGTTTCCCTGATGAACCACTCAAAAAAAAAGAGAAATAATCAATCTGGAGCAATTTCATTAATACATACACTATCTTTTTTTTTTTTTTTTTTCAATAAAATGTAACTTGTCTGCTTGAAATCCAGTTATGCATTTTAACTCAAATCATGCTGGGATGAATAAGTCACATTCACCCTTGAAGTCTGACAGCATTACTAATATTTGCAATTTAAATACGGTAACTGCTTGCGGAGCATGAAATGAACATTACACAGCCAAACACAGCCCCAACTCCGTGCTCCCCTGCCTCACTTGTTAAAAAAAATACCTCTCTGATGAAGTGCTCGGGGTGCTTGTAAAGGCACAGGCACAGGATGCGCCAAGGAGATAAGGCGTGCTGTGATGAAGCGAGCAGCGCTCAGCGTGACCCTCACAAACCCTCCTCCTCCAGGCCAGGAATGGGGCAGAAGCCGTGCTCCTGCCCTAACCCCACTGCAATGCTCCTGCCCTAATCCCATTTTGATGCTCCTGCCCTAATCCCACCGTGCTGCTCCTGCCTGGCCCTGCCGTCAGGGACGTGCTGTACCAACCACTGCTCACCCAAGAGCAGTTTGCATGGAAAAGCACCTTCTACACCCGCATTAAAGCTAAACGAGCTTTCCATGATTATTGTTATTACCATAATTACCAAAGGAATTAGTGATGATAAACCGTCTAGTGTTAAAGCACTGGAGGCTAAGGAGCCAGCCGACACATTTAAAGGCTGGGTAGCGTTTTGTTATTTAAGAGCCATACAATATTTATCAGGATGGTAAACTCGAGGCAGCGCAGGGCACTTTTCAGGGGAAACGCTGGCAGGAGGCTGCTTGGAGCAGAGACTGTCAGTCAGGTGTTGGGACGGGGGGCCCAGGGAGGTGGTGGAGTCCCTGTCCCTGGGGGTGTTCAAGGAGAGGTTGGACGTGGTGCTTGGGGACATGGTTCAGAGGTGACATTGGTGGTAGGGGAATGGTTGGACCAGATGATCTAGGAGGTCTTTTCCTCCCTTAATGATGCTCTGATTTCTCTGATGCCAGGCACCAAATCAATGCCCAAAAGCAGCTGTGGAAACGAGGATTTCTTTTCTTAGTCCTTGGACAAGTTCAGCTGTGGTTTAAGAGCTGCACGTAGCGGGGGCTAGCCGGCCAGCACAGCGACCCCAGGGCTGCCAGAGGGGTCTCCTGGGGGCAGCAGCTGCCTCTTGCCTGTCCCAACCCCTTGCTGCTCCTCTGCAGCCGTTCACAGGTGCCCACCGTGCTCGTTACCATTTTTCTCCTCCAATTGCATATTTTAACATTTTACTTCTGAAGGCTGGGAGAAAAGCTGCCTGCCATGTTCCAGTTCCCGACACAGGATTGCACTGTTTTACACGCTTTTAAAAGCCTCTGCAGCTCCCCAGCCGTGGTGAGCAGCCCCGAGCCTTGCTGCGTTCCCGTGGGTGCCGCTGCGGTGCCGGAGCCACGCGAGGCCAGCAGCCAGCGCGGGCAGCGGCGGGGTGGCCGCGTGTGGGACCAAAGGACATAAATGATGCCTTTGTTCACAGGACTGAAAATCAATGCGTGGAGGAGGAAAAAAGGCCAAGTGCATTAGCTTGGCAGGCCGAGCCGGCTCCCAGCCTGCCGCTGACTGATAGCAGGTACGCAGCTTTAATTTCCTCCTCGGCTGGCTGCTGCGCCGCAAATCCCCCGCGCGGCGCGGCACCGGCCGGCTGTCAGCTGCTGCACAGCACCAAGGCGTGTTTGTACCCACTGCTCCCAAACACGTCACGGAGCTGCTGGCATTACTGCCCTGCTGCTGCTCCAGCTGAATGAGGGGCGCAGTTTTTCTCCGTGTGCTCACCTGCTTAATTAACCGTGGTCTTGGCACGGCCAGCACCCAGCACCCCGCATTTAGGGGGCTCTGTGCCAAGGCACCTCGCTGGACCTGGGTGCTGCTCAGGGTCCCGCAGGCCTCTGCCATCCTTCCTCCTCCTCTTCTTCCTCCTGCACCTGCTGCAGCCAGCCTGCCTGCCCCTCTCCACAGCTGCTTGCTGTCTTTTCCTTCTCAAAGCCACTTAAAGGGGATTTTAATTGTCAGTCCTGAAGACGCAGGACGGCATTCCCAGGGAGCGGAGAAAACCCTTGAATTCAATGGGGTGAAAGTTGCTTCTTGCAGCCTTTGTGGAGCTTATTCTACAAACTGGGAGGGAAGAGGCAGAGGACTGCAGGAGAAAAGCAAGAAACAGGCTGTGAGTGTGAGCAGCTCCTCTGATTTGGGGGGTTTACCAGCAGCCTGCTGCCGCGCACGGGCATCATTGGCTCACCCAGCAGGGAGGAGCAGCTCTCGCACCCCGTGGCTCTCCCCTCCAGGCAGCAGTCTTAAACTGCCAGTCTTTATCATTTTGACAACCATATACGTAATTACAGCTCTTGACACACCAAATAGGAAGAACACCCCAGACGCTGAAAGGGAAAATCAGCCACGTGTTTTCAAGCTGAGCGTGCTCTCACGGATACGTTTTGGAGTCACAAACTGCTGCAAGCCAGAAGCGAGGGGGGCAACGCCGCTGAGCTGCAGCCGGGGGCTCCCCAAGCAGAGCTCTCCCCCTGCAAGGGGTAGGGCAGCAATCCATGGCCCCGCTGCTCGGGATCCCCAGCTGCAGCTCCACGGGGTGCTGGCACACACACGGGTCCCTGGGGGCGAGGGACAGGGGGACGGGGGTGCCGGCCGCTCGTCCCCACCACGGCTGCACCGTGAGCCTCGCTGCTGCCTCGCCATCGATCGCGCTGCCAACAGCCATGCCAATAACTTTAATTGTTGATAAATGGCAGACATAAAAGCGAGCTATTGTGCTTCTAAAAGAAATTTAATTAAGGGTGAACATAAGGGATTTATCACTTGACAGCTTAGCTGTTCACAGCAGCTGCACATCCAGCCGTCCATCTCCTGCCCCACGGCTGCTCCCAGCCCTGGGAAGAGGGCAGACACCGGGGGCACCGACCCCACCACCACCTCCATGAGGGCCCCAGATACGCACAGAAATGATTTTTTGTGTCTTTGCTAAGCTTTTAATTACAGACAGCCTTTTCTCGGGGATGGACAGTTATGCCTGATTATTTTTCTTAATGCATCTGTTGCATAACCAGGGTTTCCCTCTGCACAGAAACATTTTCTTCACTAATTATTAGATTTCCGCATCCAAAGAGCAAATTAAGGGACATGAATATGCAAATCTGGTGCTTCTAAACAGATACAACCGGAGCTACGTGACGAGGAGATCAAAGATGCACTGACATTTGACTCCCAACTCTTTGCTTTTTTTTTTTTTTTTACTTCCTCTAATTTGTTTGTTTTTTTTTGCACCAGATAGAGGTAAAAATAAACCTGTAAAACATCTGTAAGAAGTTTAGAAATCTATTAAAACTATAGCCACAAGATATAATAATATATAATCGAGTTACAAAAACAAAATCCCAGCTCATCTGTGGGAGTGTTTCAAACTTTGTCCTTTTGGATGCATCCTCCTGTTGCCATGGAAACAGGGCAGGCTGTGGGTTTTCAGCATTTCCAACCCTTTTTAGGGAGCTGTGCACGCTGAGAGCTGCGTCTCTGCTTCTCCTTGCATTCCTCCACTCAGACGATGGCTTTGGGGCAGCAACAGGAGCCAGCTGGGTACCAGTGCTGAGCCACTCTCGTGTTTTCCCAAAGTGACCTGGGATAAGCACACCTGCGTTAGCGTCCTTTTAAGACAATGTCTTAAAGCTATTTTTTTCCTCTCGTCCGTATGCTGAGGATCTCTAATGATATCCTGAATAACTCGTTCAAAATGATGATCTGATGTGGGTTGCCAACAGCTGGTAAATTCCCTTCCTATGAGCACATAAAAGGGAAAGGAAAAACTTGTCTGTAGGAGTAGCAAAGCAATTTGTAAAGGCGCTGTTTGATGTAGAAGTCCCTGAACTGTAACTACTGCTAAAGTACAGCCTACATTTAAGTTTTTACAGGATTAAGTTTTCTTCCATTAGTTTCTACAGCTTCTGCAGAACCAAAAACCCCTCCAGCTGCTTCAGCTCCTGTCCCGAGCACCCCAAGGTGCGCCCGCTGCTGTCCTGAGGCAGGGAGGGACAGAGCCACCACCACGCAGCCGATGGTTTCCTATCGCCTTGAATAGAGGCTTGCTCACAAAACTCAGTAATTGCTTCAAAAACAGGAAGTTAATCCTCGATTAATCTATTTCAAAATTTTCCCGGAAGATTGTTTGGGCTTGGGGTTTCCAACCGGTGCATTTTCCTGGTGGGAAGGGCTCTGTTACCAGCAGTGAGCTTGGAAGGCAATGGGAATTTTTTGCTTTTCAAAGTCACCACCCAAGCTGTCAGTCAACACTGCCATTTGATAAAAGCCTCTAAACTTCCCCAGAAGTGCTGTTCCCCTCCCCCTTTTAATATTTGCCCCATTTCAACCAAACCAGCCACCTCCAAGCACACAAGACATCCCCAACCCACTCACACCTACCAGCCCTGCTGCTGCACTGCCCTTCGCCTGCTTAACACCAGCTACGGACAGGGAGAGCAGCAACACGAGCACGTCTGCCATGGGGAGATGATTTAGCACAGCGGACAGCTTGGGAATGTACTGGATGGCAGAAACTGCACGGCATCACAGATGGCTTCAATTTAGGGCTGTAACTTCACCAAACAAGCCATTTCCACAATTTAAGCCCTTCCAATTTCACTCCTGGGAATCCTGTGGAATAGCAAGAAAAGTAAATTAAAAGAGCTGCCTGCTTTGCTCCCTGAATGGCGCTTGTTTTGCAAATGAGCCCTCCACAGTCCACGCAGGGTCAGCCTTACAGTGAAAAGGATCCTGTGTTGGGGGGCGTGGGCTAGCTCAGAACCCAAAATAACGAGGAAGATCTAATGTGACAGACTCCAGGGAGAATATTTAGGCTTCCAGACCAATTTTGTTAGAAATAAAGTAGGTCAGCAGTGGCTTCTTCCCACATATCACTGCTGGCACACACACCCTCTGTCTGGCAGGCGGCAGGAATCGCCCAGGCTCCCTCAATGGGGCTCCCCACGGTGTACTGGGAGCACTGGGGGTACCCACACGGAGAGGGGGGGAGTCAGCAGCACCCACATTGCTCTGAGCTGGACAGTGGGAGTGCTTCAAGCTGGGCTTTGAGCCTTGGGGCTGCCCAGGCAGGGTGCTGAGCACACGGCAGCATTCCTCAGAGCAATTAAACACAAGGACCTCCAGAGGGCAAAGAAAATGAGGCAACGTTGTAAAGGGGAGAAGGGGGAGAAAAGAGGAAGAACGCCAAATTCCACGCATCAGGAAAAGAGGAATATATTTAACAAATATTCCATTAACTGCCAGCAGGATTATATTTTTCTTAGCACGCAAAAAATGCTAAGGGAGCTTCAAAGGGAGCTTCATGGCAGCTTGGCTGCTCCACTCCCATCTGTGCGGAGCCACATTCAAATTAACAGCTAAGCAAAAATAGTCCCCACCCCAATTAACTCTCCCAGCTCCCTTCCTAAGCCTTCCATTTCTTCTTTTGCTGTTGGTTTGGGGTTGGTTTGGTTTTCCTCCATCCAGCTGGAGGCTTTGAACCCCTCTGCAGCCTCCTGATGTGGGAGCAGGCAGGGGAGGGGAGGGAACCATCCTCACAGCAGTGTTATTTCAGATCATTGTCTCGTTGTAAGCACACACACACAAAAAAAAAAAATACCTTCTTGGCATCCCGGCCTGGATGAAAATTAGGTCAGTGCTACTGGGACAGGCATCATCACAATTACCATGAGCAATTAGAATCGGTATCTTCTCTTAACAAGATGACTCAAAAACAAGCATCAGAAGTGAAATGAGTCTGCAATTGCCAGCTACACATTAATTGATCTGGAGAAGCAAAGGCGGGCACTATTGTGCGCATCACCCTCAGCTGTTTAGAACAGAAGATCAAGCAAAGCAGTGATGGACCAAGCACCGCTATTCAGGGAGTTCCCAAATGCCGTGTTTTCACCCCAGGGGACACTGAAATCCAGCCACAGGCACAAAACCTACCTGGGGAATGACCACTCTGAGGGTCTCTTCTGTTTTTTTCCCCCAGTCTGCATTTCAGGTCAGAGCTGGGGCACTTTGGAGAGCTCCTCACCCTGCTCCAGGTGAGGCATTCTGGCACACGCACCCAGAACTCTGTTGGGGGGCTCTGTCCCTACCTCCCCACACCACAACTGATTCAGCAACTGCTCACTGAAGCTGGAGCTTAAAAGCACTAAAGAGGAAAAAAAAAAAAAAAAAAAGGCAGAAATTTACAAAGCCTCTTTTTATCTAAATTATGTGGCACTTTAGAAGATTAAATATTCTACAAAAGCCTGAAGCCCCCAAGTTATCAGTCTCAAGGAAAAAAATACGAGCTCACCAAAGCTGTGCTGTAGATGTTTTCAGAGTATCGGATGTAATGGATTTCATCATTCTCTTCTACAGATTGAAATAAAACAGTCTTTTCATGCTGAAAGAGAACCAATATTTCATGGAAAATGGTTATTTGTGAAATTATCAAGCAAACCAGCAGAAAACCCCTGGACAAGATTACCCAAGCCTGCAACACTTCTGCGTGTGTTCGGAGTTAATGCCGCGGAGCGCTCGCGGGATCCAGACCCGCTGCCGGCGTTAGCACAGCCTGGGCCCCCTCGCACCCGAGCTCCTGCCAGCAGACACGTGGCCCTGAGTTCCTTTTCACTTTCTTACATTGATTTTTTTATCACGGCACATCTCTCACGGAGTTAATCCTGACTTACACTGCTGTAAACAAGTTCGGAGGCTGGCAGATTATCAGCCCCAGCCTCTCGCAGCTGGAGCGCCAACAAGCTGCCTCCCCAGCGGATCTTCCTGCAGCTGCGGGCGGTTTGATGTGAACAGAGGGAGCACGGGAAGATTCCAGAGCTCTTCTACAAGGATGAAGTGCAGGTGACGTTGCAGCTCACAGACCCTGGGGACTTACAGGGCTTGGCTATGGCCGTGCCCCCCGCTGCCCGCTCCTTTCCCACAAGGGCGCACACGTGGAGGCAGCCAGGAGCTGATCCTTCGCCCGTTCCTTTCCCTGACTGCTGGTGTGGTGACAGCTCTCCTGCAGGCCACTGCTGCTTCCAGCCTCCCGCTGCTCTTCACGCACCACTGCAAGTCAGCACGGGGCTGCCAACTACTGCTGAAAGGCAAAATTGGGGAACAAAGGGATTGCGCAGAGCGGGCGTGGAGATGGGGAAACTGAGGGCTTGCTGCGCTCATCCCCGAGGAAGCCACAACCTTGGAAAAGGAGCAAGGAGAAGAGCAAGGGTGCTGCTGTGCACAGAAGGATGAGGACGTGGGCAGGAGCCCATGTGCCAAGGGTGGACAGCAGGAGCCACAGAGGATTTCCCTGCACATGCAGCATCCCACCGAGAGGCGGGCACCCACAGAGGTGCTCCAAGCCCCAGTGCACCCATGCTGAAGGTGCCTTCCCAGTTGCCAGTTCTTACTAGTATTGTACTGAGAATAAAGCCGCACGTCTCTCTGTATCTAATTGCAGTAGGGAGAAGTCATTGCTGCTCTGGAACAACTATTTGTGCTGTCCCCACATTGCTTTCAGGGCCCCTCGCCTGCCAGTGTCAGACAGAGCAGTTAGCGAACACCCAGGCAAGGCAGTGACACAGCTGATGCTTATTTGGATAAAGCAACGTGCTGCTAGCCTAAAGGTGACCACATGCCAATCCATCTTCTTCACTTGATGGAATTAAATGCACAAAGCCCTGTGTATTACACAGAGATCAATAAAACCACGGTGCCAAGAAGAAATACGTTACCATTTGCCACACACAAAACAGACTCCATCCGAGTAAACCTTCAGACCCTTAGCTTCTAGTATCATTTGAGCCTGTCAGGTTTTAATCTTCACAGATAATGACAAATCCCCCAATAAAGTATCTATCAGTCACCACCAGCAGCCCCAACACATCAGGCTTAGAGTTAATGGCACAAGCCAGGTCTCTGCTGGCAGCGGGGGCTCCGTGCTGCTGCACCCCACATCCCCACGGGACACCTCCACCCTGGGGGCCACCAGGGTGCAGCCAGACCCTGCTGCCCCTCTCTGACCTTCACTGTGACTGCAGAGCCCGGTGTGCCCACAACCTGGCAGGGATGCTAATTTGGGCTTTTATAAGCCCTGCTCTGCTCCGCCCGGCCGGCTGCAAACAGCCACCTTAATGAGCTACAGCCATCCACCTGCTGCTGCTGCACATCAAGGTGCTTTTATCCCATCCATAATCCTCGGTAAATATTTAGAAGCAGGGGGGGAACTTACAAGAAACTCCAGTGAGCTCCCTGCCAGAAGGAGCTGCTGGCTGGCGTGGCCATCCCAGGCTCTGAATGCACTTGGCTGTTTCTTTGCCCGTGATCTGTGCCAGCCCAGCCTCTGCTAATAAGTAATTAGGAGATAATTAACATTTGTAGCATACAGTGGGAAACATCTGGGCCTGATAATGTATGAGGAACCTTCGAGGGTGATTAATGGGGTCTGGAGAAAGGAGAGCAGTGGGCGGCCCAGCAGAGCACCTTGCTGGAGGGGACAGGCGGGGACAGCCCAGGGGATGCTCCGGCCGGTGGCCGTGGTGATGCCACCTCTCCAAAATCACCAGTGGGAGCACGGGGCCATCCTCTCGGGAAGAGCATTTCCCAACTGGGAGCTGGTGCTCAGGAGCCATCCAGACTCAGAGGAAAAGCAGAGGGCACTTCGCAGAGCTAGAATTTATTTCAGATGGCTCCTACTTAATTAAGTATTTCATTTGCATAACCTTACACAGTTAGTCACTTCTGTCATAATGAAATTCAGCCATGTGCAAACAGTTAGAAAAAATAACATACATAACTCAAACTTATGTTTGTTGTAAAAATGGTTTTACACGATGCGGTTAAATAGGCCTGACGTATAGCCCAGAACCGTCTTTCCTCCCCCTTTAAATAGAGAAATAAATCTCCACATCGATTTTTAAGGAAATTATTTCAAATTTTCTGGGCTTCATTGGTTTCTCTTTGGCAAAATTCTGTTTCTATCTGATTTCCCCACCGCAAAGATCTGAAGTGAAGGGTGAACTATGGGGCTTCCAACAATAACTTACAAATTTATTTCCTTGTAAATTATGAAAAGGCCAAGCCAACGGCATGTCAAGGGGTCCTTAAGGCCTAATGTAACCTTATTAAACCCTTCTCTTGGACTTAAAGGTTACCTGTGTTCAATCTCAGCCTCTTCTGCCTTTTAGGCAGCAGCATACGTGTTGAATAATGAAGAGAAGAACCCAAAAATGCACACGCACATATATGTATTTTTAGAGCAGCTTTGACCTTCTGCAGCTTGCCTCTTCCCCCGATGTGACACCACGAGGAATATCCTCGGTGACACCGTTCAGGTGCCATGAGCAGGCACTGCCTGGGCTCTGCCTGTCCAGGCTGCGCGCGGGTACTTCTCGTGGCTCGAGAGGAGTGATTTAAAATGTCTATAAATACCCAGGAAGGTAAATGCATTAACCTTATCTTGATTCTGGAGTGTAATTACATAAAGTCTGGCTCCCAAGTAAATTAGTACATTAATAACTATTTTGTTCCTGTAATTACTATCATCTCTTAGATCTTACAGCTATTTGCTAGCTCGGGCGCGTGCACTCGCAAGGGCGCTGCTGCTGCCACAACACGGCACCGCGTGCCATGCTCCAGGGGCACCGCGTGGGCCACGTGCCTTCGCTCAATGCACAGACACCCAGGAAACCCATTTTCAGTCCGTGAAGATGATTCACAGCTTAAATAAAGGCACTACATATGACTAAACCTGATTCTCCTCGGGAGAAAGTCCCCACCTGGAGATAAGCCCTCCTGCTTGCAGAGCCCCTTGGAGCCGGCACGGATGGGCTCGGACTTGTGGGAATAACTTAACTGAAAGCCTGCTCCAGACATATGTGTACAAAGGAAATAAAAAGCGAGTGATATACTGGTGCCTGGTGATACATTGAAATAACGGGCACCGGCAATGACAAGGAAACATATAGCCAGGAGAGGAGACGCTATTTTTCACAAGGTGCAGACACCGGGAACAAGGAGAGGTCCCGGGAATCCATCCAAAGCTGACCGGGGAGCGAGCTGCATTCATCACGCACGGACACAGCTCCCGGCACGGCCACGGACGTGGGCTGAGCAGAGCAGAGGTGGCCCTGGGGACAAGCAGTGACCTGGGGGACGCACACGAGGAGCAGCAGGGCTGGGTGTGGAGCCAAAGGGTGCCCCCAGCCCCTCGGGACCACCCCGGGACCGTGCCCTCCATCGGCTGGGAGGAAGCATTGAGGAAGCAGCACCCGCTTTGATCTCCATGGAAACCCGAGCCCGAGCTGCAGGGAAAGCTTTAATTTGAAGTGCTTATTTGGCTGAGACCCTGGGAATAATCAACAGGAGATTAGACGCATTAAGAACCAGCAGGGGTGGGATGTTTCTCAGAAAATGGGTGCCAAAAGAGTATCTGATACGATTAGGCTTAAAAACCTGCCACTGAAAGGCACTGCGCGGAGCAGGGCGAGCCAGTCGCAGCAAATGATTTATTTTATTAATTTAGCTCCTCTTTTCTGTAGGCAAATTATCCATGAAGAGCCTTTGATTTTCCTGAATTTGTTCGTTAATACGAAGCGAGCGGGCAGACGGCACACGCGGGCACAGTTCAGCGCGGCTGCCCACTGGGGTCGGTCAAACCAAACCCCACCGCTGCCTCCAAGCTGCAGGGGTCCCATGCCCAGCACCCTGCGGAGACCCCTGGCCTCTGGCCCTGCAGCCAGAAAAACCCCTGACAACAGCTCTTCTCAATAAATAGGTCTCATTTTTTGGGGCAAAGATTTCCTCCACGGTCCCTGTGCAGCCAACTTGCATGGCTTTACCAGTGCCCGCAGCCTCCCCAGCCCATGAGGTGGAGGTGTTATCATTTTCCTTCTTGAGTTTCTCCTTTCCCCAGGTTAAATATTTCCCGTTTGCCAGGATCAGAGTTCTGCCTTGGCTCAGATGCCGCAGCATTGGGGACACGGGTGCCACCGCATCCACAAAGCCCCTCGGGGCGGGGGGCTCTGCCTGGACTCCCCGCCCTGCAGAAGAGCTGTCAGCAAATAATCCTCGGGATTGCTTATCCCATGGCAGCAGATGTAAATTTTAGCCTCTGTCCCAAAGGGAGTATAAAGCAGCAATAAAGGCGGAGGACTGCTTTTATGATCAATTCTGCTTTACAGCCTTCCTTCGGCAAAGCAAGTTTAACAGGAGGGCACGGCTGTTACGGAGAGCCTGGATGACATTGTTTCAGATGGGAAAAGGTGACTCACTGGAGATGCAAAGAGATTTCCAGCCATAAAAGAGAGGCTGTGATGCTCACCGCTGCGGCGAGGCGTGGGAGCTGCTGCTGCCCCCGGTGCCTCTGGAGACGGCGCCTGCCTTGGACTGCGCACGGTGCCCAGCTGGAGCTGTGGGGGCAAGAAACGGGGCTGGGAGCTGCCCCAAACCCAGCTCCTCCTGCACCTTCCCTGCCATGCACACGGCAGCGAGGGATGGGGACATCCTCCCGAGGGACGCAGCACCAGGACCCATCGTCCCGAGGCCAGGGGAACGGGGCAGAGATGCTCTCGGAGCAGGATTCCTCCCGGCTGGCAGCGCTTCAAGTCCTGCCAGCAGCCACTCGGGCTGTTTGCACAGAGCTGTGCTTTTCAGTAAAACTGCAGGTCTAGGCTTTCTACGGAAGGGAAACACCTTGCTTTGTAGAGAAAATAAAAAAGCCTGAGAGTACAAAATACTCCGTGACATATGGAAATGCACAGTAAAAATAGCTGAGACCTGGCATAGTCTTCTGGCATCTTCCCTCCCCATTTCCCATTCTATTTGTATTTTGGAGATAAACAGAAGGCCGCAGCCTCCAAGGCTTTTATTCCAGGACTTTTCATTTAATTTAATTATTGAAGTATTTTTCCCCCAAGATAAGATCTGTGTGACATTTCATAAGCCATACCTTCTGGCACAGTCCACTCTCCTTATGCATCCACCACCAGCTGAATATATTTACAAAAGCTAATGAAGAGGTCTTATTGCAGGAGGAAAAAATAACATCCCCGGGATAAGACTTAAAAGATAAACTTGTACATTTTCACTTGAACATCTAACGAGTGAGCAAGAGGGGTAATAAGCCAGAGGAAAGGTGCAAATCAAGAATTAATCTGGGATCCAAAGGAAAACGAAACCATCAGAACCGCGGATGCGTGCCAGACGTGCCCGCTGCACAATCCTGCTCTCTGGGGGAGTGCTGGCACCCTCCGGGATAACACCCGGGGAAGGGTGCAAGGCAGCACAGATGGAAGCTCCTGCTGCCTCCCCATCGCTAATCCTTTATTCCCACTGGCTGCTGGCAATTCTTGTGGATGGACTGGGTGAGAGCAGCTCGCCCCGCTGCCGGGAGAGCAGTCCCTGGGCACACAGCAAGGCACCAGCGCTCCTCAGTGCTTGAGAGTAAGTGGACAAGACAGATTGAAGGCCATTTAGAACCAGAGAGCTCAAGCAATTTGCTTAAGGTCATTTAAGAAGCCAGTGGCAGAGCTGAGAAATTCATCAGAGCTTCCCTGCAGGCCATCCTTCGTTGTTTTATCATAAAACCCAGGGTTTACCCAAGCCTCAGCACGCAGGTCCCTGGCACGCCAGCAGCACATCACCCTGTGGCCAAAGCAGCCGAAGCCCTGTTCCCTAACGTGTTGTTCTGAGCTCCTTGAAATTTGGCCTGGAACCTTCCCAGCTTTGTGATTAGCTAGGCTAAATTAAGATTAATCATATTTTTAAGGTGATGATTGTTAGTGCTTTGCTCATTTGTGTGTCTCACCCAGCCCTACCAGATCTGCTCGGAGCATTGAGGAAGGGATGTGCTGTGATGGTGCCACGTGCCAGATGTGCTCACCAAAATCCCCACCAAGAGGCCAAATCTTCTGGTCCCTCTCTGTGCTGAGCCTTCGTCACCATCCACCCAAGAGCTGCTGCAGCAGTGAAAGCAGTCTGGGCAGCATTGTGCTTAATTACACGTGACACTGATCCAGATCACTTTAAAACTTTAAGGGTATCTTCTAAAGCTGTGTAAATACTGGATGCTGTTGGCCTTCACTAGCAGGGACTCCGCTTCCCACCTCTGCACAATGAGGTGGCAGGTAAATGAACACAGAGC